CATTCGAATTCAAATGAAACATTATTTTTCTGTAATCAATCATTACAGTTAAGAGCAAACATAGACATAGAACATACCTACAATTTCTCTCTTCTCCCAATAACGTATTAACACGTTGAATGCCTGACTTTATGGTGCAGAATATGCGAAATGTAAAAAATACAATATTAAATTATTTAATTGCATTGCGATGTTATCACAGTTTTGTCTCGGCGAATGCCACCGCGTTAGATAGCGTTATTTGCAATATAGGAATATTCTCAAATAATCGTTTAATTGAGGCAATTACAGTAACTGAATTTGGGCGGAGATCACCGGTGACCCTATGACATACAAGGTGCTAATGACAAACTAGTCGTATTGATCAAAACTGAAAATGAACATGTACCATCAAAGATATAACTCCTTAACACGTTGAATTCCATGGGAGTCACCGATGATCTTCAACCAAATCGAATTATTATAGTTCATTCAATTAAGCGATTATTTGAAAACATTTGTATGTTATAAACAATACTACCTCATGCAGTGCATTTTTCTCTATGAAATCGTGCGTCGTTCAACGTATTAAATCAATTCATAGACAAAAGAAACCGCCATATAAGAAGTAATTGCTTCCCTCGGCCACAATGTCAGTAACCTCAACAATCCCAAGACTCTCACCGACGAATAGACGAAAACATAAATAACAACACATTAAATCCACCCACCACCGAAGGAAGAAAACAAGAAACGAAGATCCTCGGTGGTCACTCGAGCCGCGACGCATCGTCTCAAAAGCGAAAACAAAAAAGAAAAATAAGACTGTTCAAGGATAACCTTATTCATTAGAGACGCATTCGTAGGATTGTCAAGACCCGAAGCTTTCCATCGCATAATAAACGCGTGCAGACGATTCAACGACGACTCTATCCGTGCATATAGATGCATAATTATTCCCGCGGGACTGCTGACTGAGCCGGTCTCCATAACGTTCGCTTACACCTTCATCGTGCCGATCTTTGTGCGCTCGACCGCGTGCGCGCGAGAGCGAGCCAGCGAGCGAGCGCAAAACCGCCACTAATTTCGCGCAGTTTATTAGTTTCTCTGAAGTCCGTTATCTCGCCGGATCTTTCCGAGGCTGAGAGCTCTCGCTGTCCCGATCGAGGGGCCTGGTAATCATTAACGAGCGCTAATTGCGCGTACCCGGGCCCCGGCTGGATTATCCTTCGCGGATCCTCCGGGGCCGCCATTTGTTCGCGCTCGCCTCGGCCCTCCCCGTTGTACAGAGAAAATCGCGCGGACGCTGATTTCGATTACGAACGATACTCGGAATCGTAATTTACGCCGGCGAACCGCGTTCCACGTTCGCGCTTAATTAAAAGGAAAATTAATGCCCCAACGAAGAGGAATACTCCGCGATGCGGCCGCCGCGGAGTTCTTCTTCGGCCGAGTTTCTTCGATTATTTCGGATTTCGAGTTGCTGACGGTGTGCTTCTTTCAATTTCCTGATTCTTTGGAGCATCGCGGTGCGTTCTGAAGTTTCAATTCGTATTTGGTAGTTGTTTCGTGCAGTTGTTTAACCCTTTGCACTCGGAAGTTTTTCAGTGGAAATATTTGAACATTTTCTGATGGGATAAGGACGATATTTTGTGAACTCGGAGAGAAATCACACGTATATCGAGGAACAAAGCTATTTTATCTTAATATTTCTCAAATTGATACGTTATATAAAGTATAAAGTATAATATAAATATCAAATTTTATAGTTTTACTGTATGAAGTTGGTTGGAGGGTTAATCCTTCGCACTCGAGAGGAAACTCTTAGTCGCCGTTTGATTTGGTACAGCGAAATTATGAAGCTTAATGTTTCACACTAGATTTACGGAACCCGTCAATTTGACGGATATTGAATTTTTTAGTAATAGTTTTTATTAACAGTAACATTTTAGTAACATTATTTAGTAACAGTTTTCGTCGATTTTAATTCGTGCAATTGTGCAAACACGCATTGCAATACTCTGGTTTTGAAGCTACGATTTTCGCGATTTACATAGAGGAACACGTAGTTTTCTAGGAACGATAGAATAAAGTATAGAATAAACGTCTGTAAATCTAATGTTAATATTTAGTTTTGTATAATGCGTCATTGAAATATTGGAATAAAGTAGCTTTGTCATTCTATTCGCGTGTGATGTCTCGTTGAGTATTTATTTATTCGCTTGACGGCAGATGCTGTAATACCGAGAAGAAAGAGATAAATAAAGTATAAAGATTTTACTTAATAAAATAATCACAAAACTACAAACTGTCAAGTGTTTCTAATAAAAACCTCTCGCGTGCAATTGGTTATTCAGCGAATGATTCTTGATTTTCTAATGCTCCGTGTACCGAAGGAATCCTAATAGCCACTAATTACAATCAAGCATAATTTACGAAGCACAATTATCCCACAAAACATTACAAAACAATATTTCACGTATCAGAGAAACAACAAACAGATTCCGCGCGTTTTCTCAATTAAAGTCGCTATAAAACATTGAGCAACGAGATCAAGCAGAAACAAAGATTACAATATCGAAACTTTGGGAAGCAACGAACGAAAACAGCATCGATCGTTTGGATAAGCCGGAAGGGCACGGTCGGGACGCGGTTTCAACGACGATTTTTCAACGCTCGAGAGGAATGCTGACTGCGATTCGCCGAAGCACCATCAGGTGCAGTGTCAGTGCGCTCGCGGTTGCGAGCCAGCGTATCTTGTACTTACTTAGGACGTGGATATATACAGGTTGGCTTGGAATATGAGTACGAGCAGACTGTGAATAAAGGTTCATGCCTCTTAGCAATGGTTGTAGGTGTAGGTGTAGGTGTGGATGCTTTGGTGCAGCGGCCTTACAAGGACGTCTGGACGTTCTAGCTTTCCCTGAGAGAGAGAGACTGTTGCACACCTTGACTGAGACTAAACGCGTTAACGGATCTTTCACAACACCTCTGTTTCTGCGAGACGATACTCGAATTACCTCTCCGCTGGCCGATTGATCTTGCCGAATGAATGAAGAAAATCGAGGACACGGCGTAACGAACCTCATTGTAACGCGCGCTTCTTTCCATTAATTTGTCTTCGGTTCCCACTGATTCATTGCCAAGGAATTGCGCATGGTATATCGGTATGGTAAGACTCCGATTGTTACGCGAGAACAATTGAAAATCGTAGAACCAGTGGAACAAGTTTCAGACAAGTTTCAGACAAGTTTCAGGCAAGTTTAAGACACCCACTTCTTATCAGCACGGCGCCAGCCTGCTTCGTTACGACCGCTTTCCAAGAAAAATTTCTACTTTCCTTTGTATTGTCGTTCATGTTTCTTTCGTTGTTATTGTTTCGTTAGTGCGTCTGGTATTTATTGCTCAACGCGTTGAGTATTGTATAGATTATTACCAGCGGCCGCCTACTTTAACAGTAATCATTATTGCTGCTCGTAACGGCGTGGAATGGCGATCGTGTAAAATGGAAAAGATAGAACGAAGGAAAGAGAAAATTGTTTAACCGAGTGGAAAACGTCGTTGAGTGTCATAAAGAAATGGGTGACAATGTTACAGAAGGAATACTGTCCTCAAATATTTGTAGTGTCAACTGAATGGCGACACCGTTTGCTGGAGATGAGATAAACACGCAGTCGATAAGTATACAGGCTTGTTTGATCACATTATACAATATTTTATCGCTGTATATGCCTATGATAATTAAAACTCCACTGTGCTGTACGCGCTCCGTGAAGCGCACGGCGTTTCCTAATCAGCGTTATCGAAGTGGCCAGATTAGAATCTACTAAGGTTAAATCTCGAGACGGCCACAATTTCCGAACCTGTGTTTTGAAATCTTCTTCTTCTACGCAAGTTCACGGTCAAAACTCTACTAACCAAGATATCATTCCTCGTCGTCTTTCTTCCAATCATCACGAGAATCAATAGACAATTATACATATATCACAAACATCTACAATCATTTCTCAATATAATTTTCATCTTCAAAACTTCGAAAAGCGTAAAGTTCCCCCCGAAAACTACTAAAAACGAGCATTTTAGTCTCCAAGAACTACAAGTATAGATGTTACGAACAATGTGTATAACGTGGGCACTTTTAAAATGACATTGTGCAAAATGCTCATAACAAGTTTCGGTCAGTCTATAAAATGTCATTGTGCAGAATGCCTAGAGTGGTAAATGTATCGAAACGCTCTGATGAGGAAATTAAAAAATGTCAATATATCCTCTGGTCAAAATCAACATACAGTCATTATAATCACACTTGATCATAATGATCATTTATTGAAGCAAGACAAAGAACTGTGGCACTTGGAATTACAGAGCTGACTGGTAGCTCTGCACGTGCACTTTTTCGAAACACATTTGCTTTTGCATTTCTCATACCCCAGTAAACTCAAAAGGCTTATAGACTTGGTACCGCATAGAAAATTTAAGTAATAACTAAAAGATTAGGCCTAGTGCCAGATGTGCAAAACATAAAGGAATTATTGTAGACTACGTCTGCTGGTCTTATGAGAATACCAAGTTTAGAAAGTGCAAGCGATAATAAATGAAGATAAAAGAATGTCAACTACGTATTCAACGCACCCAACGAACCGTGGGCATTATATAAAATGTCCCGGCCATTTCTGAAATACCTGTCCATTATATATTGCCCAAAAAATTGCCATTCTACACAATGTCCATCTATACTTGTAGTAACGTCTATACTTGTAGTTATCGAAAACTAGTAGAATGTAGCTGGCGGTTGGTGTAAGAAGGTTTTAGGCTGAAATGCTTTTTAGTAGTTTTCAGAGGGAACCTCTGGTTTTTCGAAGTTTTGTAGGTGACAGTGTATTGAGAAATGATTGTAGATGTCTGTGATACATATATAATTGCCTATTAAATCTCGTGATGATTGGGAGAAAGACGACGAGGAATGACATCTTGGTTAGTAGAGTTTTGACCGTGACATAGATACAGAAATCCTAACTTACCTTCATTATTGAAGCTATACCGGCCAAAAATAGTCCCTCCGCTAGCAACAGTAGTACCCTGATCATTTTCGTTCAAACTGTTCGATCCACTTGAAGGTGTCATCTGCAGCTCCGATCTCTGATCAGTCTCTTTCTCCCAAATGCTGGTGGTGCGCACAGAGGTCCATAATATCACCAGGAGCACCACCAGCAGCACGATCCCAAAGATGGCGACGACGGTGGAGGCGCGATTCGAAGTTCGCGACATGTCTGCGCGCGTTTGTGTCCTGGCCAGATAGAGGTTTGTTCCCTGGCCGCTTGTGACCAGCTCGCAAGAGGCCTGAGGCTCCGCGGAGGAAGAGGATCCGCTAAACGCGCTGGTTTGAGAACGATCCGCACGGGGTCCTCGTTCAGTTACACGCCGGCCATCGGGCCAGCCAGCCGATCATATCCTTCGGAACGAGATCGAACGATGGTAGAGGATTATCGCTTGATACCGGGTCATTCGCCGCACTGCCGCTCCACCCTCTAGCGCCCATAGAGCACCTCCCCTCGACCTGTGATCCTCAAGGCTCCGCGCGGATCCTGATGCTGATGCTGATGCTTCCCTTCTCGCGCTGAAGCGACCGGCGATACCCAACCGGGGTCCGCGGAATGCCCATCAAGAGGCTCTTCCCTCGCCGATCCTCCGATCTGCCCACGAGAGAAACTGTCCGTCTCTGTCGACGCGTGTCGTTCCCTCCCCGGAGGATGATTCGTTCGACCGTTCAACCTGCGATCGTCCTTGGTCCGGGCATGGAGATTCGAGCGGTGCGCAATGTTTTTGTTTAAACTGGCATCGCTGACGCGGGATTCCCCGATTCTGGGAAAATAATGGCTCCTCTTCTCGGCGATTTGGGCGAGGTCGGACTTGGCCCGGGCTACTTCGGCCTTGGTCGGTTCGTGGACTGGTTTCTGGAAATTAAAGAAATTGTGCTGGAGATGGGGTCGTTCTTTTCGATGTGGTACCCTTGTGGAGGAGGAATGGTAAATAATGGATTGATAGTGTGTCTTTTGTGGTTGCTGTGTTTTCGGTGTATTGAGGATGGGGGTGATACGAATTACGTGTTTTTTGGGTTTTCTGTAGGTTGAATGTGGAGACAGTGGGAAGAAGAAGGGAAGTACAGAAGCGGGAAGACAATATATTATAGAAAAGAATGGAGATCTTTTCTATAATATATGTATTATAGATATTTCTAAAATATATTATATATTATAGATATTACTATAATATATTGTCTATTTATATATTATTTCTATTAATATTTCTATCGATATGTCATATACTATGAATATTTCTATTAATATATTATATATTATAGATATAAATGGAGATCTTTCCTATAATATATTGTCTTCCGACTTCTTTACGTCCCTTCCTCTTCTTCTCAGCCTACATATTCAACTTACAAAATATACAAGAACACATCATTCATATCATCCCCACACTCAATTTACACAAAATACAACAAATACAAAAGAAATGGAGATCTTTTATATTGGTTGAGAATTCGTTGATGTTGGGGATAGATTGGCAGAGAGGGTATAAGTCAGATAATATATATCTGCTTATTGGAGAAGTAATTTATTGAAATGTACGTCTTTTTATACTCGTAGCATGCGACACAAGCGGAACAGAATTGAATAAGAACTTCAATCAATTTTTATGTCTCCAGTAACGAGTAAGAAGCGACTGCAAATAGATCGGAGTTAAATCAATTTCCTGTTAATCATTTTTTTGCCGGTCTAAATATCAAATCAGTTTTTCAGGGGCTCTAAATAAGCGAAACGAAGAATCAATTAAAAAATCACTAACCCTCGTGTACAGGAAACAGGTTTTGCTTCATCAAGATAACGCCAGGTAATATTCCGGCAAAACAACGCTGACAAGAATTGGGGAATTAAATTGGAAGGTTATAGCCCGAGATATTGGTTATATGTGGATGCCGTTCTCTGGGAACATACAAGACTGTCAGCAGTGAGGAATTTTGAAATCAACTCTTTGTTCAAAATCAAGAAGCGTTCGAGTTGCAAATGAATTTTATGTCCGTCTTTTATTCATTAATATTAGTTCAAACACGTGGAATATACAAAATGGAATTTTCTCATATAAAACTTTTTTCATTTCATTTCAGAAATAATATATCTGAAAATGTATCGAACACGTAATGTATTCAGTAAGAATCGAGAAATTCGTCTGTCCATGACTCACCGTTTCTACTAAAAAATACTAATGCACGCGTATCACACAAAGTTTCAAAGTTTTCTATGAAAATATGTTATTAACGTTGTTAATGTCAATGATCTCGTTAGAGTAAAGAACAAACGAAACTAAAAATTGATAGTGGATAAAAACAGTGAATGAAACTTCACTGATATCCATCCTAATTCGACATTAACAGTAGAACTACCGAGCATTTGTTACGATTGATATGCAATCCCCATAAAAATTTTAACAATAGATTATATTATTATCTTCTTTTCAATATTATTAGTAAAAAGAATCGTTCACACTACTCTCTGCAAACTAACTATCTTTTCAAATGCATTTCAAAGAAAATATCATAATAATACAGTTTTGGAGGAAAAAGTGCAAAGAAATTCGAAGTTCAAAGTATTAATTCAATGTTTGCCTCAATTATACAATTCTTTAGCGTAAAAGCAACCGTTCTTTCATTTCCACGGCAACAACGAACGTCCATTGTCCTTCATTTCTCATTTATTTTGTTGGTCCGAGTATTCTCCAGCAATTTTCAACTCAATTACGCGACGGGATAAAATTAATTATTTGTGAATTAACGCGGTTTCCAGCTTGAATCGGCGAGGGAGTCGATTAATCGCGGGACTCCTCTCGCTCTTTCTCTCTCCGCTGTCCAGGAAGATACGATCGGAAATTTCTTTACGCGGTGGTCTCCTTCGTGTCGCGCGATAAGAGAACGACGCGGCGCGTCGTAAATGTTTAAAGCGGCACGAATCGGTTTCACGGCGATTCGCACGGCTAAATTGCCCGACACGAAGGAATCATCTTCAGCCGATGACCTCATCGCGGGAAGCATTCCCTTCGGGACTGGGAAACAGACGCTTTTCTTCATTGGGCACGCACGTTTTTCGATTGTCCGTTGTTTCCATTCCGATGTCGCCTATTAATAGCTCCTAGAATCTATGAAATTCGCGAACACGCGCGGCGTGCGAAGAAAGAATTGTATAATCGGCCGATCTCGGAGTATAGCGACGCAATGACGGAGCAACGGAATGCTCATTCAGTTCTTGAACTTGAATTCAACATTATTCTCGACAACAGTAAATATAATGAAGGAATTAATCCCTTGTCCTATGATTTATTTCTAAACTATGATCGATACAGCTACTTTATCATTAATAATGTATTAAGAAAAGAAAGAATTTTGATGCTTATTCTATGTTTATGTTTACTCCAAAGGTTAAGGACTGATAATAGAAAACTAATATTTAACTTATATTCAAAAAAAATATAAATAACACTTAGATTTGCCAATTCAGTTTAAAATCTCTATCATGAATCCGACATGATATTGTAGGTCAAGGGGTTAATAATTAAATCGTTTATTCGGGGAATTTGATTTATAAATACTTAATGAAAATCAGTTATTTTGAATGTAGTGATACGGAACTATATTCCTGATACAAAATAATCAATTATGATTAGTTACTTTATTATTACTAATTAGTAGTCGATATTACAATCTAAAAAGTCATGAACGAAGAATCTGTCAGACTTCGAAAATCTTGAAGAGATGCGATGGAAAATAATTCCTCATACTTTTTCAATGAGAACTGATCAGCCCCTGTTTCAATAATTAGCATCAAAGAGCCCATTAATAAGTCTGCGTGCATTAAACTGTTATACTCTAAAGGAATATCGTATCTCCAGCTAACAACGTTGCTGAGGTTCGCCTGTCTACTTATGAATACCTGTATTATACATTTTCAATCTGTAACAGTAATACTTTGTACAGTAGAATCTCGATTATCCGATTTAGTTTGGCAGCTAACAGTTATCAATGGAGACTTGAGTAGAAATTTTTCGAAGGATATTTGTAAAATTCGATTGTACATATTTCGAGGTAGTAATCATAGTAACCAAGATCTTCGATGATCTAAATCATTTCACCAGTCACGGTTCATCCCTCATTCAATGATTTCTTCGACAACAGTGCTCGATAAAACAACTTTGTCGTTAATAATTTAGTAGAGAAAGAAAATTCGATGTATTTATTAAAATGTATAATTTTTCTGTATCTATTGTTGATCTATCTTATTGATTCCTAATCTTTATAACAAATTATAAATAGCTCAGTCTTATTGCTCGGTTCTAGTGTTGAAAATAAATGAACATTATATTATATTTTCTCCATTCTGCATATTTCGCTCTATAAAATCGTGTGGCGTTCAACGTATTAACACTAAAACTACTGAGCAATTAGAGTAACCTTCTTCCAATTTCTTATAAAAACTAGAACAATAAGTTTCTCGAGATTCGAAGAGTCTTCTACTCTCGTATTCACGCAAATGCACAAATTTCATTAAAATCCTTCGCGAAAACGCCTTCAATATTGAAATACTTGCAATGTATCGATCAAAACATTCTAGATTGAGTCGGTTTGACTCAACCAGTAGTTCTAGTGTTTATAATAGGAAAATAATATTCAATGCGGACTTGGGAGTATTAATTGGTATTTATATTTGTTGAATTCTGTCTGAAATCTTCGTTGGGCACGATATTATAGGGCAAAGGGTTAAAGGAGAACCGTGTCACCAGCATCATCGACGAAAATTCTTCTCGGCTGGCTTGTAATGTCAGGATCCAGTGCAGACACGCTGGAAGAACCGCGAAGAAATAGATGTCCGGTAAAAATAGCGGCGGAATTATTTCACGCTTGCACCACCGGCGGAATACTTTCCGCTGGGCCGCGATTCGCGGCGTGGCGGCGCGCGTGGCGGCCCTTGAGCACTAATTTACGACGGCCGGTCGAGGATCATCCGACCGAAAAAGGACGAAACAAAGAATTATCCAGGGATATCGACCGATCCGCTCGTCGCCCATAAATCGCTAACCATGGAACAAGTATAACCGAATAAACGCGATTTCGTTCTGTTCGGTACCGACATTCTGCGAACATGTGACATTCAAATTTTAATTATTCATCGTTCACTGTAATTCAGAGATTTATAGCGAACAAGAAATTCTTGTAGTATAGTAGTGTAATATGAGATTGACTCGTTCGATGCTTAGAGGAAGTTAACACGTTGAATGTCATGGGGTCACCGGTGACTCTAAACCAAATCGAATTACTATAGTTCACTCGACGAAATGATGATTATTTGAAAACATTTCTATATTATAAATAATGCTAGCTAATGTGGTGACATTCAGCTAGATGAATCTGCAATAATAACAATGCAATTCAATCAAATGATTTCATATTATATTTTTTGCATTTCGAGTATTTTGTACTATAAAATCGTGCGCATTCAATGTGCTAACACTAGCTCTAGCGAGCAGTTAAATCGACTTTTTGAAATTTCTTTGTAGAATTCTAAGTTTGCATCTATTGAGACTTCAATTTTGCTACATCGATTGTTATAACTTCTCAGAGGGACAGCTATTATCTTTTTAATCATTTCAAGAAGAAGACATCAGGAATGGGACATTTTAATTTGTCTCGTAGCTTTAATGTTAACGCTAGAACTACCGAGCAGTCGAATTGACTTTTTGACATTTTTCTATAGAAACTCCGACTGTAGTACTATTGAAGTAGATAAAAGTTGCAAGGTATAATGCTAAACAGAGAAACGACATTTATTCCCACAAAACTAAGATTCTTCAAATGAAAATCATTTCGTACAGCAAAAACTACTCAGCAACACATTCCTAA